CATTTTATTCCATTAAAAAAAAAAAGTTAGAGGTGGGGTGGGGGGAACCAAATGCCCCTAATACATGTCATAGCCCTCATATCTATAGGAAAAAGTATAAAATTATATTATTAGCATTGCTTTAAAGAGACGAGCAAAATACATTCTAGTTTTCTTATATTGGATCGTCAAATTGACTCGAGATCTATGCAGACCATTTTTGGGTATACATATTAAGCTCTAAAATTTTCTTGCTCATTGATAGTGACAATTGTGATAAAGACATAGAATTTTATGAAGCAATGAATATGAACACATAAATCATTATGATACTCCCCGTAAGTGATTGGTCGCCGAGCGAACTCCTGGGATGATTGACACATTACCCCTGACGGAACTTGTCTTTGTCGGGTAGGGGATCAGTTCCGATGATGAGAATAATTTGAGTATGTCAATCAAGGATCGTCCTGGCCGAGCGCTTTCGTTAGGTTGGATAGCTCATGGGTTTAGTCGGTCAATCTTGGCAACATGGTCGACCGTTTATATTTGTCTGGGTGGTTTATGCCATAACCGACATATATTCAGGGCATCGAAAGGTGGTTATAATTCTTCACTCATGTGGCTTATGATAGCTTGATTGGACCCTAGTCTTAGGTCGGGTTCCTTCTCTATAGAAAAAAGCCACCTAGACTTATCTCTGGGATGATTCTCACCTTACCATTCGTGGAACTTGTCGCTATTTTGTAGGGAACCATCTTCAGATTATTTCCAATCCAAGTAAGAAAAGTTCTCTAGCTGGCCCTTATTACCAACGGGACGCCTATGGCGTCGTTGTTGGTTGTATCTTTTATTTTCCACTAATCGAACATCTGTGATGACATTGTCGGTTTTCTTTTAATTTCCACCAATAGAACATCTATGGTGTCGTTGTCATTTGTCTTTTATTTTCCATCGATCAGACATCTATGGTATCGTTGTTGGTTTTGTTATTCGGCTTTGTGCTCCCCGAGAGTCGGGTTTCTTCCACAATGCCTAAACTCCTCGAACTCCTTGACCTTGACCCTTCTTCCATGGTTGTGGGCAGCTGTGGAGTGATAGGACTGGACGGTGAGGCGAGACTAGTTTCCGTTGTGTCTGATTCCGCGCGACAAAGAGGAGGAGCTAACCGAAAGTTGGATCCCCAATCATTCCTTTCCATTTATCGTGAACAAGTACACATAACATTATAACTACAACTATCACCCTTTTTCTCATAAAGCACATTATTGAGCTTGCACTTATTATATTGTAATGAATATGCTAATAAAGTTTAAAATTTATAATGTAAATAAAATATCAATTGACTTTGATGGAAAAGAGTCGAGTTTTATAGACATTTTAAAAATTTTATGTCAAGAACACTACAATCTCTACCCACCTAAAGAATGAGAATAGCTTTGAAAGACAGGCTCTTGCTTATCTCTCTCAAAATTTAAAATATTTTCATTTTGTGCTAAAATATTTATGAAGAAAAAGTAAAATACAAGAGTTTTATGTGAAGGATTTCATTGGGGGCACTAGAGTTTTTTTTTT